ATACAGGGTAAAGCTCCCTCTACACTGTCCCCCGCATCTCTCACTCCCAAGGACAGGGACAGCACGGGGTTAGATACAGGGTGAAGCTTCCTCTACACTGTCCCCCGCATCTCTCACTCCCAAGGACAGGGACATACAGAGTAAAGCTCCCTCTACAGCAGCCTGTGACAGTGTGGAGGTGACAGACAGAGTGTTACAGACGTCGGGAAAGGAGTCTTGCTGCTGTTAGAGAGACCCCTCAGCTCCACGGCCACCCCGCCCCGAACTCACCGACTGTTTGATGACATCTGCCCACTCCTGTGCGACCCCGTACTCCCCGTTTTCCTGCAGCCACTTCTGGAGATTTTTAATTGGTGGAGCAAATCCACCTCCAAGCTGTAATCGAGAGAGCTTCCATCAGTATCTTCGCCACGGTCTCTCCCCTCCCTCCCCGCTTCTTCATTCACTGGGTAAGGGGCTCACTGACCAGGCCTGCAATTATTACCCCATCCCTAATTGCCCAGGGGGCGGTTCAGAGTCAACCCCATTTCTGTGGGCCTGGAGTCACACGTAGGCCCAGACCAGGTAAGGACGTTCGTGAACCAGATGGGTTTTTCCCGACAATCGGCAATGGATTCACGGTCATCATTGGACTGTTAATTCCAGATTTTCACTGCATTACCAGGGACCCCAGAACTTTACCTGGGGCCTCTGGGTTAACAGTCCAGCATAATACCACCAGGCCTTCGCCTCCCCCAGATTGAGAATCAAAACACTCAAGGAATCTGCTTCCATCTCCTTTACAGACTCGAGGATGCGCAAGTTTAAGGTGGGAGGGGGAAAGATTTAAAAGGGACCTGAGGGGGTAACTATTTCACACAGAGGGTGGTGCGTGTATGGAACGAGCTGCCAGAGGAAGTGGGTGGGGGCTGGGTACAGTTACAGCATTTAAAAGGCATCTGGATGGGGACATGGATAGGAAGGGTTTAGAGGGATAGGGGCCAAATGCTGGGAAATGGGACTGGATTAGTTTAGGATATCTGGGTCAGCACGGACGGGTTGGTCTGTTTCTGTGCTGGATGACTCAATCTCATAGAAACAGGATGAGACAGGGGGAAATGCAGGAAGGGCATTCCCAATGACTGGGAGTTGTGGCGGGAGGTGACAGTCTGAAGGAGACGGGGGTGGGACTGAGAGGAGGAGAAATGGCTTCACCTGGAGTGGAGTGATTGTGTGTCACAGAAAGCGGTGGGGGCCGGAATATTGACTGTTTTCGGGAAGGAGTTGGGTATCGCTCTGGAGGGGGCTGAAGGGATTACGGGGAGAGACAGGATGAGGGTATGCTCTCTCTGACCCGGTGAGAGAGCTCACCTTTTTGCCGTTCCTCCTGTTAATGACAGGTACTCTCTCATCCCCGGTCAGTGTGTTCACATCCAGTTTGTGGGGGTTTCTGCAGCGATGTCTCTTCTGTTTCGGCCGCTTCTCAATAAACTGCAAGGTAACAGCTGGCTCTTTAATAAAAACTAATCCAAAACTCTCCGGCCTTCTCTACCTCTCACCAGCGCTCCAGCCCCTCATCCTCCCTCACCATCCTCTCGATGGACGCTCTCTCCCCTGTCTCCCTCCTTCCCCATCCCTCACACTCCTTTCAGACAACACTCCCTCCCTCCTTGTCCATCCCTCACACTCCTCTCGGACAACACTCCCTCCCTCCTTCTCCATCCCTCACACTCCTCTCGGAGGACACTCTCTCCCCTGTATCCCTTCTTCCCCATCCCTCACACTCCTCTCGGAGGACGCTCTCTCCCCTGTCTCCCTCCTTCTCCATCCCTCACACTCCTTTCAGACAACACTCCCTCCCTCCTTCTCCATCCCTCACACTCCTCTCGGAGGACACTCTCTCCCCTGTCTCCCTCCTTCCCCATCCCTCACACTCCTTTCAGACAACACTCCCTCCCTCCTTGTCCATCCCTCACACTCCTCTCGGACAACACTCCCTCCCTCCTTCTCCATCCCTCACACTCCTCTCGGAG